AACAAGAAGTTGATTGAGTCTATTTAACCAAAAATATAATTAATCAAGGAAGAGACCGAGAAAAGAAGCAATAACTTTTGGGGTGTAGCCAAGTGGTAAGGCAAAGGACTTTGACTCCTTGATCGTTGGTTCAATCCCAGCCACCCCAGCCATAAAATTAGCACTATATGAATTCAAAAAGAAGTTTTTTACTGTTTACGATAGCAAACACGATTAGTCTGCTATGAATATGTCTCCATTTAATAAACAAAAATAGTGGTTGATTTCCTAAGTGAATGTTTTGTCCACGCAGTATTATTATTCTTTTCTTTCTCAACTGTGCTTTTTTAATTTGTTTATTTTATTTTTTGATTACTGAAAATAGTTAAAATTGTCCTGTTAACTCAGCGGTAGAGTGTTTGCCTTTTAAGCAAAAAGTCGGAGGTTCGATCCCTCCACAGGACACCAGTAAAGCGGGATTGGTGGAATGGCTAGACACGCCAGGCTTAGGACCTGGTACCTTCGGGTGTTGAGGGTTCGAGTCCCTTGTCCCGTACCAGTTTAGGCATATTATTAATAATATCAAACCAAGTAAAAAGTCCAATATTGAAATTCCTACAAGGAATATTGTCGGACAATGTAATGGGAACAAATTTAATCCTTTGAGCAATAAAAGACGTTCTCGTTTGATATTCTCGAAAGTAGGAAAGAGAATAAAAAATCACTTATATGCCATTAATACCCCAGGAGTATCTAAAAAAATGTCTTCTTTTACCAAGAATTGTTCCTGAAGAATTGGGTGAGAAGTTGACTCATTACGGCCTAGAAACAAAAATAGTTCAAAGGGAAAATGATATATATTTTGAATTTGATATCCTTCCTAACCGTCCTGATTTGTTATCTTGGTGAGGCATAGTTCTAGAAATAGGGATTATATTAAATTGCCAAGTAAAAACAGTCCATTCTCCGATTATAAGAGAAAACTATCTCAATGATGATAAAGAGAAATTGATTGAGGTAGCAATCGATACTAATAATTGCTCAGAATTTTATTTAGGCCTAATAAAAAATATTGAAGTTAAAGAAAGTCCTAGTTGATTAAAAGAATGATTAGCGGCGAATAAGATTCAAACTATTAATAATGTTGTCGATAGTGCTAATTTGGTAATGTTGGAAACTGGTCAGCCCCTTCATATTTTTGATTATGACACCTTATCAGAGAAAAAAATAGTAGTTCGCCAAGCCCGTCAGAGAGAAAAAATAAACACTTTGCGCGGCCAAGAATTAGTACTCAATTCAGAAGACATTATAATAAGCTCGGGAGAAAAAGTAGTTAGTTTAGCCGGAATTATTGGTGCTCGCGAGACCGTGATAATCCCTCACACCAAAAACATTCTTGTCGAATGTGCATCTTTTAATTTTAAGGTAATTAAAAAAAGTACTAAGCGTTTAAATATTTCGACAATCGCCGGTCAATTTTTTGCTCGTGGAGCCAATTTGGTTTTATCTCCTCAGCAGGTTCTCGTTCGATTTATTTCATTTATTACTGAGACTTGCCAGAGCAACTTAAATTCCAAAACAATCTTTTCTTATCAAGAAACAAAAAAAATCCTACCAACAATCACTATTAGTGAAGAATTTATTACCAAAAAAGTCGGTCAAACACTAGACGGACCAACTATCGAGAACATTTGACAACAATTAAAATTTTCTTATCAAAAAGAAGGAAATAATTATCATGTTAATATACCTTTATCGCGACCGGATATTACTATTCCCGAAGATTTATTGGAGGAGATATTAAGGATTTATGATTACAACAAAGTAATTGGTTCGCTTCCATAAAAAACTTATTTTTTCTTTCTCTTCTTGACTTGACGGACAATGTAAATGGTAAAATGGATAAAAATTAACACGAGAACAAAAAGCATCATGGAAATCAGAGTAGAAAGACGATGTAAATTGAACCCAAAAGATTTTCCGAAAGAAGTTTTTGCTAATCAACTGTCAATAAAAAGTGAAAACAAAAAGATAACTAATAAAGAAAAAAGAATTAAAAAAGCAGCAATTCTTCCTTTGGTTTTTTTAGACATATGTTTTTTTTAAGTTTTTTGTGTTTACTATGCGTTTA